AAGATGTTTCATAGAGTATTTGGGGAGTATTTTGCCCACAAGCCATAGTCATAGAGCACATAGATGAGGCAGGTGATGGGACAATACATAGCTAATTATGAATGGGGAGAAACGTTGACTGGATAATCTCACTGCACTGTAAAGAGCAAGGGTAGGATTTCATTATCTTCTCCAAATTCTTTTGGGTTTTATTTTTAGCAAATTAGATGATGTGCATGTTTTCTCAGTTGTTCATCTAAGTAAATGCTGTGTGTTCCCCATGCTTTAACCTTATCAGATGCTTTCGACCTCTTTAAAAGCTGCTCTACATATTCAGAACACTTTTACATGACAAAAGTCTGTAGTAGTACAGCCTTTTTTGCTATGCTGGTTGTTTTTTTCTTCAATTAAAACCAATATTGATCTGTCTCCAGTTCCTAGAAGTATGCAACCCAACGCTGAAGAAATCTTTATGGTCTGTTTTTCCTTCTGACTCCTACGACCCTATTTGCTACAAGCTGCTAACCCTCATGTTGCAACCATCCCTTTTCTTCCAATTCTGCTATCTGGGTGTATTACAGGGATGTGGGAAAAATAATACACACAGGCAGATCAGCTTGGCTCAGCATCAGATGTATACATTGTGTCATATGTAACATGTATACAGCATGCATGGGTTTTGTATTGCAAGCATAAAAAAATATTTTGTTCAGCAGAAATAAAATAAGCATTTTGTCTGTTCCAGCAATAGCATCAAACCAGTCCTTGAATCTGTTGTTTTACAACACCAAGAAGCATTTTACACAGGAGCATTCAGCTGTCAAACACAGGATGAGCAAAAGCAGTCAGGTTTTCTTTCTTTGTTTTGTTTTGGTTTTACATTTTGGCTTTTAGCCATGAACCAGATTTCTGGGTACTATAGGGACCACTGACATCAGCTACTGCCACTATGTATCTGATACTCCAATATTCACAGAAGGAATACCAGCAAGTTTCAACTGTGTCTACTCCAGAATTTTGATGCTGTAACATTTATTTTTCCAATACATCCCTGTACCAATCTAAATAAAAACAAAAACACAAACAAACAAACAAAACACAAACAAAACAAAACTAAAAGTAGCCTACCAACAGCTTGGCATGTTCACAGACACTGGGAGCAAGTCTAGTCTATGCAGGCTTACCATTCCTGCCCAGTGTACTGGACGTGTGCCCACAACGTGATGGCCTCAGCAAGCAAAGGCTGCAAAGCCCACCTAATTAGCTGGGTAAATAATTGAGCATGGACCCATGCTCACCTCCATGCTGCCATGGGTACACTACCTGCAGGATTCTACTTGCTTACTTATAAAAGCTAGCCTGCATATGCTGTGAGCTACACTCTGAGCCTGTTATCTAGAAAGGCTTAAAGCCTCTTGCTTCATAGAATGTGGACTGAATATTTCATCTGGATAAAATAACGATTTTGTTAAATGATTCCTTACCTCCTTAAATGAGAAGTTCTGTAGCTTCACTGGCCAAGAATCAACCCCTTGAGACTGGGCTAGTTAATTTTTGATGTGACCTGCTGGCTAATTTTGGCTGAGGAACTGTGCATTTGCTCCAGCTACCACAATAGCCCAATTCTGCATGACAGTCTCTGAGCTTGGAATGGCAGCAATGCAGCTGCTGCTGCAGTCAGTGGGAGAAAGAAAAATGCAGTACCTCTCCCTGTAAGAGCAGAGCCCTGATAAGCTCTGAGCAGATGTGCTCTGGTTTGGGATGCTATTCAGTGACCCTATCATGAGAGTGGCATTCAGCATTATTGCCCATTTCTGCACTAGAGACATCACAGTCTAATGCCTTCTAGAAAGAAGAAATTGAAAATACTTTGTTTTGGCTGATATGGATTAAACAGACAGAAAGGTGTGTAAGATGAAGAAAACTTCCTATTCCTGTTTCTTCTGGTTTGTTTTGTGGGGCGTTTGGTTTTTTTTTGTTTTTGGGGGGGGGGGTTGTTTGTTTGTTTGTGTTTGTTTGTTTTGTTCCGGGTTTTTTGTTTGCTTTTTTAACTAGAAAAACACCTGATAAAAGTCTTTTGTTCCAAACTGTATTCCCTTTTTATTACTGAACAGCATTGCTGGTATGTGAGAAACAGACAGGGTGGGCTGCATGTCCAGAAGGAAGTCTGCTGTATGTGACTGGGCAGGGACTAACTAAAGTCCCTGGGACAGAGCAGAGCAAAGGCTTTCCTTCCTGCTCTTACTCTCCATGCTACTGTTGTTGCCCCAGGCTAATTGCTCCTTGCAAACACAGGATCTCAGCAAGTCCTGATGGTCAGTAGCAGCATTACAAACTATTAGTCCTTCTGGATATTTGTCACATTGGTTGGGCTACAGAAATGCATGTCAGGCACCAAATTATATATCATGTAAGCTGTGTGATACCTGTTTTCTTTAGGACAGGGTCTTTTCTATGCTGGGACAATGATTCATCTCATGTAATTTAAGTGTTTAAAATTAGTTGTCTGCAGCTGTACCAGTATGACTTTACAGCTAATGGAGAGAAATGAGAAATACCAAAGGATGATTCACTTCATCCTAAGATAGGCGAGAAAAATTGCCCTTCAGACATGGTTATTCCTATACATTAATTGTAAATGGAGCCTTGGGAACTCAGGTTAAGTAGGGAAATCAAACAACTAGAACTGAGATGATTTCTACAATGGGTGTCCCAGTTTTTAGCATCATCTCCAATTCTACTAAAAACTGAAAGGCAACAAGCAGCCTTAATGTCCATGGCAAGTGTCCCAGCCTATGATCCACAGAAGCAGCAGTATTTTGCAAAAGTTGTGCTAAGAGGTCAGCAACTGTCCTTTGTATTTGTTTTCATTAATAGGTTTAATGAAAGAGGGGCATGGGGGACTGGAAAGAAACTTGGAGGTAAGACAGTAGACTGAGGCTTACGACACTAGGGAATTCCTGCCCAAAGCTAAACTTCCATAAAGCAGAATTGAGGTTATGTTACGTGATCTGCTTCTGGCATGTTCAGTGGGAGCAGAGGATAAAGTCTCCAACAGCTAAGGGCTACCTGACTTCTCAGACTAGAACCTCCATGGAGCTTGGATTTTGTATAGGTCTTCTGCTGGCTCCATCCACAGGGGCAAATATGGCCCATAAAAACACAATATGCTACTTCCTACCTACCACTGGTTTTCAAATTGTCTCCAGAAGCAATAACTCAGACACCTTTGTTTACACCCAGACTGGGATGTGATGTGGCAGTTAAACCTGAAGAGGAGTTAAGAAAATCCAGTTGTGGTTAAAACTGTCATGTATTCAGAAAGGATGAGTCAGAATGGTCTCAAATGATCTCAGATATTATACTGCTACCATGGTCACATAATTCTCATCAGTGTGAACAGAAGTTAGGCACCTCAAAGAGAGGCAATCCTCCACATAAGAATAGAACAACAGAGATTTTAAAAGTGAAAATAATTTCCCATATCAGTATCAGCTGTCTAATTTCAGTGTAATCTTGAAATATATAATATTTAAAGTAATACGAAACAGCAGGAAGATTAATTCCTGATGTCAGAAGAGAGGAGTTATTTCTGGCAGGCTTTAATGGATCTGCTGCATCACAGGGAAACTTCTTCCAGCTAGCCAGTAATAAAACCACATACAGACACTTACAGTCTAACCTTGTAAAGGACCCAAATCAGGGCACAGCGGGAAATTTGCAATTAGGCTAAAGCCACATGTTGTGGTTACTGACTACTCTAAGACCCCTGTGACACTGTGTGATTGTTACTTATCTATTTTATGGCAACTAGAAGCAGGCTGGCCTCTCAGTAGAGATCAGACATGACCTCAGCTTGAAAACCAGCCTTTGGGTTAAGCGCTGCTCTTAAGTGCACAACGTGAGTGGAGCCAAGGGTTTCAAGTGGTTACAGTTACCCAGCACTGCATGCAACACTTTAGTTTATTAAGTGCTAAGTCAACACATAAGAATTTTAGCAAAACCAATGTCAAAAAGTAGGAGCAACAGGACAAAATGAAGAAGACACTCAACCACGCTTAGCCATCACCACCATGAAGCTGGAAAAACATACAGCTGCAATGGCTATACTGCCAGCACAGAGCAATTAATCGTCGGGTTGATTTGAGAGAGGAGACGGAGTAGTAGCTTTTCCAGTCTGCACAGCAGTGTCTCCCAGGGCCAGGAGCCACTCGCTGGGCAGCTGCAGGGGAACCAGTCTGACGGGACCCTGGAGTCAGTGGAGAGGAGAAAAGAGAAAAACTGCAGATGACTAGTGTTTGGAGGCAGCAGCATCATAGGAAATCTATACGTTACAATGGCAATACGACACATCCTGGCACCAGGAATGGTTCAGAAAGGCCGGGATAGAGCTGCACGTCTGCTGTCTTGGCAGAAATCAAACTGCAGCCCGCGGTGCGGCGTGAGCTGGGTGAGTACCACTGCCTGCGTCGGGAGCAGACCCAGGGTACAACTAACGTAACGTGAGGGGGGTTTAAAGAAACTGAGAAGCGGGTCTATTTGTGGGAATCCCGATGACAGTCTCATCTTTGAAGCGCAGAGGAAAATGGGACCCTGGCGCAAACTGCACCCAAACAGAAGCCACCTGGCCTCCTCCGCGTTGTTCCTCAGAAGCAGAGACCTGAATAAGCCAGAGGCTCCGCCTGGGAACCCTCCCCGTCGTTCTCCGCAGCGAGCATGCCGGTGCCAGGCCGGGCTGGGCTGTCCTAGGGGGCCGCCGTCACCCCGGGCTCCGGCAGCAAAGCCCCCAGCCCTGCCTCAGGCAGGGAAGCGCCGCCGCCACGGGTATCCCAGGCATGGCCCCACCCGGAGGTGGGGGAGGACCCGTCACTCCGGCCCGGCGCCGCACGGGGGGAGTTTCTCCTCAGCAGGTGGGGCCGCTCTGCCGCCCGCCCCTCCTCTCCGCCGACACCCCGCAGCTTCCCGGCCCAGAGGCTGCTGCTCGCCGGGAGCCGCCGGCAGCGGTAGCAACAGGTCCGTGCCCGCTCCTCCCTCCCCTCCGCCTGCCAGGCGAACAAAGGGGCTGAGCGCGGCCCCGCGCTCGCCTGGCCCCTCCGCCAGCTCGGCCCCTGCGCTTCAGCCATTTGCCTCGCCTGGCATCGCCCCGCCGCTCCCTCCCCGCCTCCCCGGCCTCCCCGCCGGCTCCCGCGCCGTGGGCGAGGCGGCGGGGCCGCTGCACTGCAGGAGCTGCCCCCAGCGGAGCGGGGCTCGGCGGCCGCGGGAGGAAGGTAAGCGGGGAGGCAGCGCGGCCGCGGGACGGGAGCGGGGTCGGGCACGTCCCGAAGCCGGGGCTGTGCCAGACCCCCCTCCCCGGCCGCCGCCGCGGAGCCTCCGGGGAGCCCGTGGGGAGGATCGGTGCCAGTATCTGCCGATGTCTGCGGTACAAACTGGGACGCGGAACCATGGTAGCCGTGTGTGTGTGTCTGTGTGAGCGTGAGGGGGGATGCTGGAGCACTGTCAGGTTTAATCGTGCTATTCTCTTCCTTCTGTCCCCCTTAATCCCCCTCCTCTGGGCAGTAGGGAGGCCGGGCATATCCCCATATCCCTTCTCCATATGTCAGAGAGAGAGCCAACCCTAATGCTTGCGTACTTTTTTTTTATCCTGCTGACCTATTAAAAATCTAAATGACTCTTTACACTAACGTTTAGGGATGTGTAAGAGCAGCAGATTGCTTCCCGCTATAAATTCTTCATGGCGTGCTTCCCCATCCTACTAAAAGCACACGCAAGCCCTGGGTGAACACATGCGTGCAGGATTTTGCAGGGTGGAAGATGCACGAAGAAAAGTCCTACTGAATTTTAGTTGTCTGAAGCTGGTAGGTTTTTATGTCTCGTTCTTTAAAGCAACAAAAAGCTGACTCCTGAACCCAAACCTACACATAGCACAGAGAATGATAGTATTACATGGTATAGCCAACTTTTTTCACCTATCAAGAAAAAATAAAGCTCTGTGGAAGTGACATTCTGTAAAGCTTTTCCACAGCAATTAAATTGAACAATAGAAAACTAGAACAAAAAGCTAGGAAAAAAGTAGGGCAATAAAAAATAGAATAGCAATAAAATAGAACAATCATTCTGTATGATCTGAGAAGCAAAATAGCTCCTCCATTTTTCAGAGACTTAACCATCTGTCTCCCAGAAATGAATTAAGTGGAATGTTTGTGGAAAATAATAATTAAATTGTCACTAATATTGGCAAAACAATATTTACTCCCCTGTTCAACTCTCTGGCCCATCGTGCTTGTTCTGCATTTTCCTTTGCCCAGGGCGCATCACACAGCATTTATTCACTCTTTAATTAGGACATCCAGAGCATGCCAATGGGATCCTCTGGTCATTCACTGTTAATGGCACTGTCTGAGGAGAACCTGCCAAAGAGCCAAGGACTGTTCCCATGCCTGCTCCAGCTCCTCTCTGCTCTCCAGGACTCACTCCTGGCAATGGTGGCACTGAGTCAGTGGTGACAGTCTTAGGAGCTGGAGTTTGCAGGACTGTGCCTTAGTATCAAAAGACAGAAATCCTTAATAGGTTTCTTTCTTCTACGAATGCTGCGCTATCATCACTTTTCAGTATAACAGATAGTCCAAAGAGGTGGACGGACTTCAAATGTCAATAAATATTACAGCACATTATTTGGCAGGAACATTCAATGAAAGCCATTAACTGGCTTTACTATAGTAAAGCAGGATTATAGTATTTAGGGCTGGCCTAGGTTACCATAAAGACAGTGATGTGGTTAGATGACTGGATCCAGATCCTACTTACCGGGGTTTCGGCATCCTGTCGTATCCTGTTGCAAGAGGATATTAGGGGCTGCTGAATGCTAAAGAAGGGTATAATAAAGCATGAAAGGAAATCCTGCAATTTCTTTTAACATAGAATTAAGCTTTTTTTTTAATACTTTTTTTTTTCTTGGTGAGGTCCTGTATGGATTTTGCAGGCATTTTTCTATTTACCCCTACTGACATTGTGTAGCGTTGCAGTTGGAAGCCTGTTTCTTTCCCATGAACAGGAGAGAAGTCATTTTATACCTCTTCACATCCTTGAAAATACCCATTTTAAAAATGAGCTCATTTCCATTAGCCTTCTCTGGACATGACATTTTTATATCTGCTGTTTTATTTTTCAGTGGAATTGACATCATTCTTTTTGCTTCTTTTTTGGTCTCGGTGTTGTTTTGTCAGAGAACAGACATGATTAGTTCCTTTCACTGAAGAATTACTTTATAGCAGTTCAGGATTTGACAACCAGTTTAACCTGATCTATGAATGAGCTGTCCCTGAGCAAGAAGGGACCCTGCTTCTTCTCTAGTCTGGGCTGTACATTACTGCTCAATTCCCTACGCCAGCACTCATAACCATGTGACAATACAGTGAATGGATAGAGATTTTGCCTTCCTCCTGCAGTTAATTAAGCAAACACCCAGTTTACACATGCAGAAGTTGGTGTTAGGAGTGGGGCTCGTCCTGAGATCAGACCATTTAAATCTGCCTGTAACTCTGTGGGATCAGGACGTGTGTTTTCCTTAGACAGTGTTGGGAATGCTGCAGCTTTTTTTTTGGCCTCATCCTAAAATGCTCATTGGATGCTAACTGGCAGTTTTGGCACTGAAAGGATTACAAGAGTGGGTCAGTATTGTATAAGGGTCCAGAAACCTAAGACGATCCCAGATATGGAGGTAGAAACTGGAATACTTTATTGAGCACACGAGTGCAATTTAAGGGTCTTGGGGGCTGGACATGTTAATGAGGAGGACGAGTTATGTAAATTAGGGGATGGCTTTATGTTAACTAGAGGATTACACAGGTTTCTGCTACAGTTACACAATTGATTAATATTTCCCTTAACCAGGATTAAATGGGGGGGAAGAAAACAAAGGGGTTTCAACATGATTTAATAATTTCATCTCAAAGTCCTTCCTTATCCTGCTGCAGGAGCAAGATTAATCCACGTGGTTGTACATCAACAGGTCTTGTGAGGAAGGTCCAGTCCTTCAGATTAAGGGATTTATCTCAGCCTGTGTTGCCCAAGGTTTCCTGTTTATTCCTAGCAGTTCTTTTTCTGCAGGTATCTGAATTTTGGACTGCAACAGTATTGTGTATGCGGATTGAGTGTTATTGCAAAAAAGATTTGTCTGGGTCCTGTGCACTGCACATTTGGTACTTTCCAGTTCCCTTATGCCCCATCAGCAAGGATGGCAGGAATTCATGATTGGTTAAGTCAGTTTATTTAATGCAAAACAAGCTGGAGAAAAAAATGCAGTGGTTCTGCAGATTTTGTGCTGTGTGTCAGAGGGAGAAGAAAGATGTGTCATATAAATGCTTTTCAGGTGTGATGTTTCATGAGCTGCCATTGCTGTGCCTCTGGCTAAAACAGACGGATTGACAGCCTTTTTTAACTCACTCGGAAACACTCCAGAAACCACAACCTTTCTATACACATTGACATAAGTTGGTCAAGCAGGTTCCATGCTGTTATGTTGTCTGTCACAACATGATTTGCATTAATTGAAGTTATTTTACATGTACACATTTATAGATTAGCACAAACTGCTTGTTGTTTTTCTGGACACTGATTCCTTCAGGAGTACTTAAGGAGCAGAGTAAGCTTTGCATGTGGATCTGTAACTGCTGGAAGGCTACTGGACTTCTGACTAATTTCAGACTATCAACCTGTCAGAGTTAAACAATAGTGCGTTGTTTTTTTTTTCTTGGAAGCAGATCTGCTTTTCTCTCTCTCCCTCTCTTGTAAGTAGATTGGAAGAACAGGCCTTAAGATGTGGAGATAAACTATTATTTCTGCAACCCATATTTCAGAGTGTTAGACAGTAGGAACTAAAAGCCAACCCTTTGCTATGGGAATGGCATGCGAACAACAAATGTTCTGATTCCATCAGTCGAAGACAAATCTGTTCATGGGAGAGTTCTCCTCTTATCCTGTAGTTTTCTTCATTTCTCCTTTACTGCAACTCCCTGCATTGCTTCACTTCACAAAAAAGCTACTGTATACATTTCTGTGTACAGCTGTGGTAGATTAACCCTGGCTAGATGAACATGCCCACCAGAGCCACTCCATCACTGCCCTCCTCAGATGGACAGGGGAGAGAAAATGAAATGAAAGTCTCGTGGGTTGAGATCAAGACAGTGAGAGATCACTCACCAGCTACTGTTACGAGCAACACAGACTCGACGTGGGGAAATCAGAGTAGGATAATGAGAAATAAAAATGAAATCTTGAAAACATCTTCCTACCACCCCTCACTTCTTTACAGGGCTTAACTTTACTCCTGAATTCTTTATCTTCTCCCTCCTTCAGGAAAACAGGGAATGGGCATTTTGATCAATTCACCACATGTTTTATATGCTGCTCCTTCCTCACAGTCTTCCCCTGCTCCAGCAAGAGATCTCTCCCATGGGAGATGGTCCTCAATGAACTTCTCTAGTGTGAGTCCTTCCCACAGGCTTCTGTTCTTCATGAACTGCTCCAGTGTGAGTCCCTCCTACGGGTTGCAGTTCTTCAGGAACAGGCTGCTCCAGTGTGGCTCCCCTGTGGGGTCAGAAGTCCTGCCTGCAAACCTGCTCCAGTGTGGGCTTCCCATGGGGTCATGGCACCCACAGCAGCCACCTGTTGTAGCGTGGAATCCTCCACAGGCTGCAGGTGGATCTCTGCTGCACCATTAACCTCCATGAGCTGCAGGGGCGCAGCTGCCTCTGTTCCAGTGCCTGGAGCACCTCCTCCCTCTCCTTCTGCACTGACCTTGATATCTGCAGAGTTGTTTCTCTCACATATTCTCACTCCCGTCTTCTCTGGCTGCCATTTGCTCCCGTGCAGTAACTTTCTCCCCTTCTTAACTATGTTACCCCAGAGATTCTACCACCATCGCTATCCGGCCTTGGCCAGTGGGTCTGTCTTGGAGCCGGCTGGCATTGGCCCCATCAGACATGGGGAAGCTTCTGGCAGCTTCTCACAGAAGCCACGCCTGGAGCTCTTCTGCTGCCAAAACATCACCATGCAAACCCAATACAATAGTGTAAGAAATCCAGATGCTCGTGAAGTTAATGGGAGTTTTCCCTTGGCCACAATGGGGTTAGGATTTAAAGTGATGTCAGACTCTGGCTTTATCAAAATGCTCTGAAACTTAGGTGGGGGTTTCTAGCTGCAAGCTACTAGCACAAGCTTCATTCTCTCCAAAGCAGTACACAGATATATTTCTTGTTTAATAACAACT